GAATGTAAAACACTAGAACAAGTCATGTATGATTCATTGGAAGGATGATGAGTATGATTAGGGGAGGAAGACACTTGATTCGCCGAACTTTGGTTGATCAAACCTTTGGGATAAAGACTTCACTTTGGCTGCTATATCATTAGAATGGTCAACTTGACATAAGCCAACATTCTTTCTCCACCTACATTTCTACCATTTTTAGATGATAAAGATCAATGTATTGAATTCTCACTCATGCTCTTATATAAGTGCCATACATCATCTTCATGCCTATCAAGATAAAAACCACCCATAAAAGCTTCAACCATTCCTTTATAATTATCCGACAAACTTTCAAAGAAGAATTGAACCAATTGCTATTTGGGAATGTCATGGTGTGCACATTTCCTAAGCAAATCATTCAATCGTTCCCATGCCTCATGAAACATTTCCCCTTCCCCTTATGAAAATTCATGAATTAAAGTTCTCATTACATTGGTCTTTGATACCGGATAGTTCTTTTTCAAGAACTCTTGTTGCATCTCTGCTCAAGAAGTTATCGAAAAAGGCCTCAAATTGTTAAACCAGTATTTTGCTTTATCTTTAAGGGTGAAAGGGAAGAGTTAGCTTCAAAACCTCTTCTGGCATGTCTGTGTATTTCACGGTAGAACACACTTCAAGAAACTCATCCAAATGCTCATAAGGTTCTTCACTTGGTAGCCTATAGTAATTGGGAAGCATTTGAAATGTTTGTGGTTTAATTTCATAATGGTGTGCTCTAAATGGAGGTAATTAAATGCATGTTGGTGCATTATACTCATTTGGCTCATAATGATCTCTCAAAGTAAGGGGAGGATTCACAATTGGTGGCTCAACACAAGCACCATGATTTACTTGAACAACGGGAGGTGGAGGTGGTACAAAAAATGGCCGAGGCATTCCCATCGGAACTTAGCCTTATTGTTGTGGAATGAAGGGTCTAGGCATGCCTAATGGTACTTGAATGTTATCATGATGTAGATGCACATTAGGGTGAAGAATACCTTGTTGGTCGATGTGACCAAGGTCCTCCACATGGTCCTCATTATGTTCCTCCATTGATAAAATGGAGTCACTGGAACTACCCCTTCCCCTAGGATTACGAACAATGGATTCAAGATTCAAATTAAGTGGGACAAGAGTATGATTCAATGACCTATGACCATGCATGTATAACAAAAACAAACAACAACTCAACAATAAGCAAGTAACAAGCACTTCTCTTCCGCAACAAGTCAGTCAATGAACCTCCACATACATTGATCCCATACTCCCATGCTTTCAACACTATACAAGAAAAATAAATTGCCTCCATGCGGGCCGACGATGTTTCTAAATAAATAAGAATTGCCTCCACGCGGGCCGATGATTTAACTAAGTAAGAGAGTTAGAAAAGCTCACAAAGTGTCCTTAAGCAACTTTAATTTATTTTTAACTTTTTACCTTACTTTGCTTTACAAATTTTCATTTATTTTTGCTTTTATGCTTTTTACTTTGCTTAGCTTCTTGTTTCTTTGCTTTGAAGTTCATTTGGTTCATTTCCCTTGGCTCAATGTACCTAGCCAATCAAGAACAAACACAATAAGTAACCAAAGTAAAATAAAATAAAGAAAAGATCAAAAGAGTACTAATTCTTAATTAATTCCAAAATATGGCGTTGCCAATCCCCGGCAACGGCGCCAAAACTTGGTGTGTCGTCAGACTAAAGCACAAAAGTGGTGTGTGAAATGTGGCCAAGTTTGAATTTATAGAATGCCACTACTACCACTAACTATTAATGTAGCTAGAGTAAGTAGGGATCGTCCCAAGAGAAATGGACAGTATTCTTGGAATCAATGTTGGATTAGTAGGTCGAATGATCAAAAGATGATTTGATTGATTAATTAAACTAATGATTCAATTAAAATAATGCAATGGAGTGACAATCTAGAATTAGAGAAAGATATATGAGAGAAAGGTCTTGGGGCTTAGAGTTCACCACTAAGCTTTACTTCACCAAACACTAGCAATTGTAAATTAATGGGAAAATTTAAGTTGTAACTTGTGAGTTTATGTGTCACCAATTTAAAACTAAGCATGGATGACAAATAAACATAGTTTGTCTAATCAATCTAATGAGTAGCATAAATTATCAAATGAGACCATTAACCATTCAATTAAACCAGCATTAGTGCATACATAAAAATATAGAGAAATGTACTTCTTGCATTCATAAGTGTGGAACATCAAACAACGATAATGGATTGTCCACCTATCTAAGAAATTAAAGCAATTACACTACAACTAAGCTAATGACATGAAAATTACGCTAATTAAACTAAGGATATGGCATAATCTATCAAGAAATAAGTATGAACCATCAAATAAATCATAAGAGTAATCAATTAAGCACCATGCATTGACTATCACTAGATTAACAACATCAACACACATAGACATGCATTAATTTCATTAAATCTAGAGAAAAACACATAAACATTCATTCTAGCATACATAGACATATGGATAGAATTAAATGATCAATTGAAAGCATTAATCCATTTAAATCATGTAAGGGTCACAAGATCTATATTTATTCATGGTCAAAACATCAATTACAACTAAAATCCCAAAAAATACACAAAAGCTAGGTTTAGGAAGCAAGCCTAGGGGATATCTCTAGCCCCAAGAGAAGGAAGTAGCCACTCATTGTAGTAGTCATGGAACCCTCAAGGGCTAGCTTGGAGGTTATTATCATCATCTTCATCCTTACTTTCTTCCCAAAACCTTAGTTCTAGAGAGAAAACTATTTTTATGTTTTGTAAGAAAAACTAGATGATATCTTTTACAATATGGTTCAATTAGCCTATTATAAGCCTCTTTGAGTAGGCACCAAGTGAGAATTACAGCCTATGATTAGAGGAAATTCGCAACTACACAAGTTAGGTAGAGTTCGACGCGCTCAAGAATAAATAGCTCACTGCCAGTAGTTAGTTCGATCGAGAATAAATAGCTCACTGCCAGCAGTTAGTTCGATCAATCGATCGAACACTTAGCCTCAATCAATCAAAGCTGACATGCCATCAAAAATATCTTCTGGGCCTTATCCACTTTGCTAAGCTGGCACTGCCTCATTTTGATCGATTGTAGCCATTTTCGATTGATCGGGATTTCCTTCGATCGATCGAAGTTCCTCTGGTGCAATTTTCTTGACTTCTTTCCAACTTTGCTCCTTAGCTCCAAAATTGAGCTAAATGGCTTTTATTAGCCTATTTGAACTTTATTGACTTGAAATAGGCAAAAACATAAATAAGTACTATGACATGAAAGTAAGATAGATGAATGGACTGAAATACCCTAACTTAGGTGTTAAAATGCGTCACATTTGAGCACTTATCAAAGATATTTTGATAAAGATTGATAAATTCTTCTTCCTGGTTGATTTCATGGTAATTGACACTGAGCCGGTTGCCAATCCGAAAAGCCAAATCCCCGTTATCCTTGGCCGTTCTTTCTTGGCTACCGCCAATGCCAACATAAATTGTAGGATGGGGGTAATAAAGATTTCCTTTGGCCATATGAAAGTTAAGTTGAATATATTTAATCCGACCCCTAATTCAATTGACAAGCATGAAGATGTTCTTGTTCTGGAAAAAAATTGTTGAAAAGGATGAAATGCCATCTCTTGTTAATGTGTCTAAATCAATTGGATTGCCTACCAAGGAGTCTTCCCAAGAAGTTATTTTAAAATCCAATGTTAAAAGGGCATGGAAGCCCAAGAATCCCTTTGACCAAAAGCCATCAAATATACTTGAATCAAATCCAACAATTTCCTTAGGGAATGATTTGTTGGGTAGGGTTCAAAATTCATTTCACCCCATTGAGAAGGGGATGTCTAACAAAATTTTTGATCTGGGCTAAAAGAGCTCAACGTCTTACTAGAGACGTTAAACACTAGTCCTTCGTAGGGCTTTCAAACCCTGTGTCTCCATTTATTCTTTTGTTATCTTTTACATCGTCTAGATATGTTTTGAAATAATCATTCGAATTTCCGAGCAGTTTTGAGCCTTTTTTGCACTTTCAGTGCCATTTTCAATCGATCGAAGTTTGCAGAGCCCTGTTTTACCTAGAAATCAGCTCTCAATATTCATCCTTTGAACATTATCCCAATTGATCAAAACACCTTTTCGTTTGATCAAACCTATGAATTAAAACTTTTCATCTCCCAAGCTATCGTTCGAAATCTTTTCGATCTATCGCCACATTTTTCAATCAATCGAATTGGAGAAAAAATTTCTTCTTTGAATTCAATTTTAAATGATCAAGGTAAGTTTTCGATGGATCAAAGACTTTCGATCGATCGAAAATGGCGTCTTTTCAAATCCCAAGAAAGCTGTTTTGGCCATTTAGCTTCTGATATATTTATTTATTTATTTATTTTATTCTTTTACTCTCTCTTTTCTTTTTCTTTTCTTTTTCTTTTTTTCTCCCTTTCTCTCTCTTCCTCCCATAGGGTGTGTTTGGATAGACAGGGGAAAAAAGAAAAGAAATAATAGTATTAGTTATGAGAGAAAAGAAAAGAAATGATAGGATAGTAATAATTTCTATTTGTGTTTAGATAGATAGGGAAGAAAAGAAAAGAAATGATACTTATTCTTATTTTGATAAGATAGAGGAGAGAAAAGAAAAGAAAGGATTGTAGACAAATTATTTTTTTACCCTTTCATAACCACGGGACTTGAATGCAATAATAAATCTGTATACTGATTTGTGGAGGCTAATTTTGGTATTATCAAAATACCACTTAAAATTACTATGCTTTCTCTCCCTGTCTCTCCCTATCTTCTCAAAATTGAATAGAAAGCAAATAAGAAATAAGGAGGGATAGATATCCCTCCCTATTTCTCCCTATTCCTCCACTTAACTTACCCAAACACAAACTTACACTATCCTCTCTTTTCTTTTCTCTCCCTGTCCCTCCAAATCAACCTTACCCAACACACCCATACTCTTTCTTTCTTTCTCCCTGACTCCATCTCTTCCCCTCTTAACCTCGTCACAACCACCTTCACCCTGCCCACCACCACTCACCATCACCGAAGGCACCACAACCCCATCGCGAGCCACCCCTCCTCTTGTTGCCTCTCTGTTTCGACAAAACCCGAAGCTCTCTTCGCCACTGCCGAAGCTTCTATCCATTTCCAATAAGCTCTTGGCCAAATGGCCGAGCTCCTTTTTCCGTCTTGGAGTTCTCTCTCTCAATCTCGAGTTCTTTCTCTATCTCTATCTCTAGCTAAGGAGGCCAAGGAGAGTCGATCTCATCGCCGGCGACATTCCAGAGTGTTTCTGCATTTTCTGGTGACCTCCACCATTTTCTCCGGCCACGGATTGGCCAAAAATTCTTCGAGTCCATCCCAAACTCTCTCTCTTTGTTCCTCTCTTGTCCTTTGATTTGGGTATGTACCCAATTAAAATTTTGATTTCCATTTTTCATTTTCATCTTATTTTCTTGTTTCTTTATTTTTAATGTGTATATATTTTATTGTGGATGAAAAATTGAAACTGAAAAACTAAAAAAATATTTTAGATAATTGAAAATTTTCAAATTTTTTGTTTTTTATTATTTTTTTTATTATTATTTTTATAGAAAATTGGGACTTAATTGGACTTATCCACTGTAATGATTGAATTGGTTATTATTTGGGATTGTTATTTGACTTGAGGATGGGAGAATCTTGAATTGGTTTGTGAATTGGGTAGTGCACTGTTATTATAGAGAATAGGCTGACAATATGGATTGTTTATTGTTTGTTATTGTGTTGAATGGAGGATGGGCATTTTAAATGGATGGTTTTGTTGATGTACTTTGTTGATTGGGCCGTGGAATTGAATTGATATATATATGTACTTTGTGTTTTATATTCTGGAATTTCAATGCTGAAAAATGGATATTTAAACTGTTGACATTTTTGGGGAAGTTATGCCATGTTGAAAGATTGAATGTGAGTTGAGATGTTTTGAGTTTTTGAAATTGAAAAAAATGTGACACTTGTGTATTATCTTTGAATTTGAATTGTAAAATGGAAAGTAAAATTGTGAGATGTTGTTGAAGTTTAATTGTGAGGCATGAATTGAAAATTTTGAATTGAATTTTGAAATGTAAATTGTAGTTGAAAATTTGAAATTGTGTATGGAGAGACTTTGTGAAGCATGATTTGTTAAAAATGAAAATTGGAAATGAAATTGCTTTGAACTTGGAAAGATTCTTGAAATTTTGGAGTTACAAATTGGCATTGAAGTTAAAAAAAAAGTTGTGAGCATGCTCCCATTTTATTTCATTTGCTATTCAAAGTAAGAAATGGATGTTAATTCATAGTGTATAAATGCATGAGTTTTGTGCTTTGAAAACTGAAACTTGAATTGTTGAAGTCTTGAAATGCAAAGTCAAGTCTAAATGCATGATATTGATTTGCAATGAAATTTTTTAAATAGTTTTGAACTTAATTTGATACATGCTCATGGTTAAGGTGCATATGTTGAGAAATAATTCTTGAAATGTTGGAAATGGCTTTTGTGCATAGCTTGTTGGTTTCCAAAACTTGAAAATGGGTTTTTGAACTTTATTATTGAAAAGTGAAGTCGAGTTTCAATTCTTTCAATTATTCAATGTTCAATGCATGATTCTTGTTATGATACCTGTCTATAATGCATATGAATGTTTTAGACCCCAAAGTTTTCAAAAATGCTAATTTTGAACTAAAAGTGTTGAAAATTCCCAAAGTTGTCCAAAATGCCCTTAAATGAGTTGAATTTGGTTCTATTTGCTCTCTTTTCCATCCAAATTCATGTTCTAAGTGCCATTAAGATAGTTTGTGTTCAATTCTTGATTCTTGTCATGTGAGGGTGTCTAGTTGATATCTTTTGAGCTAATTTGTTATGAAATTGAACTTTTCTTGCAAAATGTGTTGCATTGTCCTTTTGAACCAAACTTTTTGAAGTCAAATGTTCCGAGGTTGTATAATAAGCATGAATTTGCCTAAATGTGATTTTACTTGAAATAAATGTGTGTTTTGTGCAATAAAATGCAAGATGCCTTGTTTGTACATACTTGGTCAGAAATTGCACACACCTTTGTCACATTATTGGTTTTTCAAGCATGATTTAATAAATCTTTGTTGCAATGTCTAGATTTCTTGATCTTTAACTAAGTTAAATTGAACTTTGAAATGCAAATTGAATAAGTTTTGGGAGAATGTTTCTTTGGAAAGTGTTGTGATCTTAAATGTATTTACACTTAATCCAAAAATTGTTGTTTTTTTTTTATTTTTATTTTTATTTTTATTTTTTTGTGGTTAAGTTTAGGAAAGTTGATGTTAAATTGCCATTTTGTTTGATTGTATATAATTGTGATCCGTTCTTGAAAAGCTAGTAATGGCTTAAGACCGAGGTTCTAAACTGGTCATTGTTTTGATCCAAAAAGGGGTAAGTTTCTTATTCTTCTCATTCTTTATCATTCTTTGCTTTATTTAAGCTTAAAGGGGGTCACGAGCCATAAATGATCATTTCTCTGCTTCTATATTGCTTAGAGGGGGTTACGATCTATGAGTGATCGTAGATTGTTGATTTTGTTGAAATTAGAGTATGGGATATTTCTGTGATTGGAGTTTGGCATTGCTATTTGTGCATCATTCATAAACATACTACATAGTTACATACCATGTCTAGAATTCATCTTTGAACTTGTGTATCATAACATTCCTAGGTTTGAAGTGTTTTGTAACCGTGCATTTACTTAGTCTTTATTTTATGATATACATGCTTCTTTAGTTATAGGTAGACATTTGCCATGATTGTTTTCTACATGTCACCCTGCTTGCTCCATTGGTCTTAAATGTTGAATTTGTAGACATTCTACTTAGGAATTGATACGATGTCATCCTAGAGTCTACTTGCTTAAAAATTGTAAAATCCTTGTGAGTTTTAGGTTTGTGAACGAACGTTGCATGTTTTATGCACATCACATCCTATACTTGTCATATTGGTCACATGCTTGCATAAATGTTATCAAAAGTGACTTTTTTGCCTTCTTTGCTATCATTGCACCATGTTGCATGCTTGAGATTGTCTATTGTGCCATGATATATCATTTGACTATTGAAGCATGTTGAGTTTTTAAATATTAAAGAATGATGTGAATGTTATTTCTGCAGCTTTCTTAATCATTTTTTGCACAAGCATGTCCTTATCTGAAGAGTCGGGCAAACAAAGAGCAGAAAAGGCTCTAAGCACAGTAGAGAGTACAGGAGCAGGCAGATAAAGGATCTCAAGGATCACCTTCCTCTTTCAGACCCAGGCAGAGAACGCGCACTTTAGCTTCCACTTCCACTACTCAGTCGGATCCATCTCTTCTTCCCCATCCATCTCAACAGCCAGGTTCGTCATCTATTCCTTCTTCAGAGCCAATGCCCCAAGCTGACACTCGTTCCTAGCATGCCAGTTCAGATTCCAGCTATAGAGCTGAGCTGACTCAACTGCAGTCAGATTTTACTTCTTTCAGAGTTGACATGACGAGACAATCTGATGACTTAGCGAGGCAATTGACAACCTAGCGAGAGCTGTAGCAGACACGAGGAAAGACAACACAGATTTTTGGACAAACGTTCAGCATATTACTCGATATAGCCAGGAGATGTCAGAGATTATCCAGATCATTACAGATATGCTTAGGCCAGATGTTGTCCCGTGATTCCACCATTCTCTCTCTATTACTCATCATTACATTACCTGATCCTGACATTGCTTTGATATTCTGATACATTGATTATCTTTGGGGATATTTTTACCGTTTTGATATCTTTACATTGGTTTTGGATATTACTTTTGGGTATTCAAGATTTTATTGCTATATGCCATGGATTTAAGCCCATTCATTCCAAATTCTTCATTTTATCTCTCATTTCTATCATTGATGCATATGCTTTGAAAGTTGCTAGTGTGACCATTTTCAGACAGGTTTTTGGAATCTAAGTTTGGGGGTGTGCGTCTTCTAATGCCAAGCTTCCATTGCCGGGTTCTATATGCTACGACCATTTGGTATACTCTTTCCACTATCTATGGATATCTTTATACATTGAGAATAATGCACAGATTAAGTTTGGGGGAGTGTAAGCATATTTTGGCATATCACACTTATTTTCTATGCATGTGATATGATTTGAGAGCTTAGCAATGATTTTGATCTTTTGAGGACTATGGTACTTAGAATTTAAAAATTGCTTGACTTGTGAGTTCAATACTCCTTAAATGCCTTTTGGAAGTCATTTTTTAGCACAAATTTTCAAAAGATTGACATTTTGTTTGCTTTTGTGGTCCACATATCATGTTTGTGAGATTGCTTTGAGATTCACTCTAGAGTTCTACACTTGCACATGTGTACACTAGTATTCATTTATGGGGTACATACTTAGTTGATCATTGATTTGGTTATATTCCAATTGAGCTAGTATTGTTTTGAAAGCTTCCATTCTTGACAAGATGATCTTGCATGCTAAATAACAAACCTTTATCCGAGTAACTGGGATTCGTGCCTCATTAAGCATCGAACTCTCGCATGAAAGATGGAAGGCCTACACAATAGTTCTAAAAAAAAAAAAAAAAAAAGGTTTGCAAAAGCAAATAAAGTGAGCATTTCTCACCAAAGTGGGGAGTGGAAAATGATTAGATGAGAGTTGTTTCGATTTGTAGCCTAGTTGATTTGAGCTTGTAAGTCCTTAGGGGTGTCTTTCCACCTAATACCCTAAAGCAATCCAGTTTGGGAGTCATTGACCTAACGTTCGCTACATGAATCTTCTAGAAAGCTTAAGAGATCACTACATTGCACCATACTCTTGTCTTCTGATCCTATTAAAAAAAAAGAGTGAAAAAAAAAAGAAAAACAAAGAGAGCATGTAGGAAATAAATTGAATAAAAAGGTTTATTCTTTGTCTTGATGATCGGTACTAGATTTGTGTACTAGCTTGAGACCAGTTGTGCCTATTTCATTGATTTGCTAAGATAAGAACATATTTGATGCCGGTTCACTCAAAAAGAATGCTAGAGTTGTTTTGATTTGCATGACCATCTTACTTGACGTGTGGAGGACCATACTTGCTTGCTTGTTGTTAAAATTTTGGAAGATTGCTTAGAGGTGATTGAAAAATTGCATACTTAAGGTAGTTTTCTTTCAATGCTTGTCTGGATCATTGGTGCCTCTTTAGTGAGAAAGAGCTTTATGTTTGTGGGTATCATTTCTGGAAACCTTCACGAGACTTCGCTGGTCTATTAGGGGTAACCTAGGGGTTCAAAAGGCTTATTGCGTATGCTAAATGCAATCGTGTTCCCTACGAAAATAGTGCTATCTTTTTATTTCTTTCTAGTTCATAGTTGTGTAGTTATCTATTTCTTTCTTTGCTTTGTAGTTCATTGCTTGAGACTAGCAATATCTAAGTTTGGGGGTGTGATAAGTGCTCAAATATTGTATATATTAGCACCTAAGTTAGGGTATTTTAGTCCATTCATCTACTTTACCTTCTCATTTTAGTTATAATCCTTGTTTTTGTCTATTTCAGGTCAATAAGGTTTAAATAGGCTAAAAAGAGCCTATTATCTCCTTTTTGGAGTTAAGAAGAAAATCCAGAATAAGTTAGAAAAAGTCCACTGGAGTACTTTCAATCGATCGAAGACTCAACCATGATCGATCGAAAGTTCTCAATCCATCGAAGTGCCATGTCAGCGGTAGCTCAGCAAAGGATAAAGCCAAATGAAGATATTTTCTTGCCACGTCATCTTCGATTGATCAAATTTATCTTTGATCCATCGAAGTATCCTTCGATCGATCAAGCCCCTGCTGGCAGTGAGCTGTTTAATTCCCAAGCGTGCTCGAACTCCACCAAACTTTTGGCTGCGGGATTAAACCAATGAAATGCCTATTTTCTGACTTGTTGCCTACTTAAAGAGGCTTGTATTTGAATGAAATTGGACCATTTTTTGTAAGGTTCCCAACTTTTAGCGAAATTTTTTCATAGTTTAGACATAATTTTCTCTCTCTAGATTAGGGTTTTTGGAGCAAAAGAAAAGGCAAGAAAGGGGAAGAAGATGAACTCAACCATGGAGATAGCCCTTAAGGGTAAGATAACAACAACCATAAGTGGCTAGATCACCCTCTTAAGGTTAGAGATAGCCCTAGGCTTGCTTTCTAAAATCTAGTTTTTTGTTATTTTTAGGGGATTCTTGTTGTAAATGATGTTTTGACCTATGATTATATATAGATTTTGAGTTTCTACATGATTTGTATGGATCAATTCTTCCAATTAATCTTTCATTTTATTCATATGTATATGTATGATGGAATGGATGATTATGTCTTTACATTAGATTTTACAAATTTAATGCATGTCTATGTGTGTTGGAATTGTGAATTTAATAATGGTCAAGGCATGGGGCTTATTGGTTACTCTTGTGATTTGTTTGATGGATTATACTTGTGCTTGATGGGTTGTTCTACTTTATTAGCTTAATTGGTTTAATTTCCTTGCCATTAGTATAATTGCAGTGTAGTTGTCTTTAAATTCCTAGATAGGTAGACAATCCATACTTGTGTTTGATGATTCATTCTTATAATTGCAAGTAGCACATTTCTCTAGATTTTTGTGTGCATCAATTGGGTTTTTTGAATGGTTAATGGCTTAAATTGATGATTCGTGCTACACACTAGCTTAGGTAGACAATTTATGCTTGTTTTGTCATCCATGCTTATTGTTTTAATTGTTGGCGCGCGCGCGCGCGCACACACACACACACAAACACACACTTATTTTACAACATTGAATCCCCCTAAATTGATAAATGCTAGATGTTTAGAAAGATGAAGCTTAGTGGTGAACTCTATGCCCTAAGACCTCTCTCTCATTCCTTACACCCTAATATTTTTAGCTTGTTTACTTTGTATGTTTTGAATTAAATTGTAGCTTAATTCAACCAACCAAACCTCTTTTGGATCATTCGACCTACTAAACCGAATTTGATTCCAAATACCTTGCAAATCCCTTAGGACGATTGATGAATGCTTAAATGTTGCATATTTTAACACCTAAGTTAGGGTATTTTAGTCCATTCATTTATTTTTATTTTCCCATTTTATTACTAATTTATATTTATATATATTTCTATTTTTAGGTTAATAAGGTTCAAACAGGTTAAAAATGGTCTATTACAGCCTTTTTGGAGTCAAGCAAAAGTTCTGAGATGATTTCAGAAAAATCCGAAAAAAGGTCAAAAATGCATAATTTCGCCTCTAGTGGGTTTGGATCGGTCGAAGATTTCTTCGATCGATTAAGAATACGCTGGCAGCGAGCTGTTTCATTCTCGCGTGCCTGAAGTCCACTTACCATATAGTTGCTGGATTAGATATTTTAAAGGCTTATTTTTTGACTTATTCACTACTCCAAGGACTTTGTATTTAAAGGGAATTGAACCATTTTGTAAAATATCTTTTGTCTTGAATTTTATTTTTATTTTTACATTGTAATAGTTAGTTTTTCTCTCTAGAAAAATTAGAGAATAGGGTTATAAGAAAATAGAAGAGTGGAGGCACCAAGAATATCTCAAGATCTATATACACTTTCTCTCTAGAATTCAACAAAGAAGAAGAGGAAGAAGATGGTGCCATATTTGGGGATTGCTCTTGAGGGTTCCAAGATCACACCTACCTCCTCCATGATTGGCTAGACTTCTCCTTGGAGCTTGGTTGAGCCCCAAGTTTGTAAACCTAAACCTAAATCTTATTCATACTTTTTAGGGAATAATATCTTGTGATTAGAGTTTTAGCCTTGTGAATTTAGTGAATCTTGGGTTCTCTTTTGATTTTTATGGATTAATTTTTTCTATTAATTCTCTATGTGATTACATGTTATCTTATGTGTGATTATTTGAGAATTGATCTCTACACTAGTATTTCTATATTAATTGCATGTCTATGTGTAGTTGATTTAGAATCTAGTGATGGCTATGAATGGTTTTCATTAGATAGATTTGTCAATTAATTTGATGGGTTATGTTTTTGCTTGATGGGTTGTTCTACAATTTAATTCATGCTTGTAGGTAGGTAGACAATCTATACTTGATTTGATATTTCATAGCTTATTATTGCAAATTCTATGATTCTCTAGATTGATGTGTGCTATAATTGCTACTAGTTTGATGGGTTATGCTTAGGATTGATGGGTTATTCTACACGTAGTTTAATTGTTAGTTAGGTAGACAATTCGTACTTGAATTTGATGGTCCATGCTTAATATTGCAATTGGTAGTCGCATTTTGTTCACAAGAAGGTTTTCCCCAAATTAGTTGAAAGTGTGTGGTTTGGTGAACGGGCTTGGTGGCGATTCCTGATAAATGCTTAGATGTTGCACATTTCAGCACCTAAGCTAGGGTATTTCAGTCCATGCATCTATCTTACTTTCATGTTTTATGGTGTCTGTCGTCGTGAACCAACAAGTTAAAATGTGTTAAAGAGTGGCCAAGTTTGAATTTGTAAAGTGCCACTACTACCTCTAACTACTAATATAACTAGGGTGAGTAGGGATCGTCCTAAGGGATAAGGAGCAAGATTGATATGGAAACACTGTTGGATTAGTAGGTTGAGTGATCAAAAATGTTTTGAGTGCTTAATTAAACTACAATGTCAAATAAATGGATGCAAGGTATATAACAACCCAGGTTTTGATTCAACCCAAAACTACAGTGATGAACCAAAGATTGACCCATTAACGGATCCAAATGCAGAAGCATGAAACAATACAATGGTCTCCCAAGGCATAACACACCTCTAAAACCCTTTGATGACCTTCCATGAGGTCACGGAACCCAAATGAATAACGTGCGGAAGCAACTTGAAAATAAGTTTATAGAGATGTACATTATCCCTAGAACACAATAATGGACTTTGAAAGAGTTTCGAGGCTTAATGGAAACAAAACGAAGACAAGGGCATCAAAACCCACCGAAAGAATGACCAAGGGTAAAATGGTCATTTTACCCAAGAAGGAAGGGATTTAACTTTCAACAAGTCAAATTAGATTAAAAACATCCAAAACCATCCTTTGGTAACTTCACATAAAGTCCCAAGGCCAAAGGAAGAGAAATCCCCGATGAACCCTATCCCGGTTCGAACCAAATCCGACACCCTCTCACTAAAACAATGATAACTTGAGCTAGAAAAATAATCTAAAGCTAAAATTGGTACCATTAGAAATCTTACTTCGATGCGGTCAGTTTAGACTCAAGAATGGACCAATTCGGAGTTAAAACGAAGAAGTTACAACTATTTGAAGTTCGAAGTCCAAAACTGAAAACTCTGGAAGACTTGAACCGGTTCAACATTTCTTGAACCAGTTTAACATGGATATAATGCCCATGCTGGACCAAAAATGAACCTTGAACCGGTTCAACTATTCTTGAACCGGTTCAACTTGACCAGGGTTGAACTTAAACAGCAGCAACAGTGTTTTAGTAGAAAAATGAGTTTGCGACACAGTTTTTGAGGTCAAGATGACATTTTTCGGAAAAATGTCATGAAGAAACTCCCCCTAAAATCATGTTTTCTATGTGATAGAGTCAAGAATGGAATTTATATCCTAAAGGAAATCCCCAAAATGCCCTTGGGCCGAGTTTTTCAACAAAAGGGTGAAATGAGTCCATAGGAGGCCCAAAACACAAACGAAAGGGTTTTTCATGGAAACAATCATTCACGCAAACGTAAATGATGCTTTTGAGTACACGGGAATGGTCTACGGCTCCCAAAAATGGCCGAGTCAAAATCCAACCCCCCAAAATCAAAATTAGGAAATGGTTTCAAATGACCGTTTGGCCCTTGGCCACACTTCATACATGACTAATGAGACCCTATGAAAGAATGAAAATGGAATTCCCACACCCGATGCAACCATGGCAAGACAATAACTTGGCATTTTTCATTATTTTCATAAAATTTCATGAAGTCGAAAAATACATGAGATACAAATTACATGTCATTGGCCTCTGGCCTCATCTCATACATGTCAAATACAATACAAAGGGTGTACTTATGTACACATTACATATATGGAGTCAAAGAATCCAAGTTTTGTCAAAATAAACAAAAATAAACATGATATGTTAACATGTGCATATTCAATATCATCAAAAATACTTCAAGACTCCTAGTCTGTCTGAGAGTGTTGTGTATCCCATAACAAAGCTTCTTTACCTGCAACACCCAGTAACTTCGGGGTGAATAAATAAGACTAACAAGTTTATTCGTAGGGGATGAGCATACATCGACTCAATTTCTTTAAGATTTTTAGACAACATGAATCATTTCAAAAGGGATCATGTCACCTAACGTCTGTGTCAAGGGTTAGACTCAGGGAGCATCCTAAGCTACCATGGAGCAATATCAACAAGAATCATGATATATGTATATATATGAAACAAGTCAAGAATGGAACAATCCAAAGAACACGACAAGAATAACGCATGGAATCAAGAACAAGGTATAATGTCTATGCAAGTAAACAAGATTGGGGTATTCCAATTAACGCGACATGAAGTATACTTGAAATCGAGGACGAGGCATATTATCTATGCGATTAAACAAGGATGGGACATTCTATGAAACACGAAAAGAGATTATACATGAAGTCAAGGACAAGGCATAATATCTATGCAAGTAACAAGATTGGAACAATCCATACAACACGATAAGAAAACAAGGGAATATAAGGATCACATTATCAATGCAATTTATATGATTGGAACATACCAATTAGCACGACATGAAGTAATACACGAAATCAAAGACGAGGCATAATATCTATGCAAGTAACAAGATTGGAATATTCCAAGTAACACGATAAAGAAAACACATGAATTCAAGAACAAGGCATAATATCTATGCAGTCTAGCAAGTTTGGAGCATTTCACATACACGACAAGTTTAAATCTTCAAGGAATAGCAACTTGAAATTTAAAGAGTGAAATCAAACAATGCGGAAACTTGGATATCGCCCGGATTAAAACCGTACTCTTGGGATAACTTTAGGGCTACCAACCCAAGGGTACCTTCCACTAGTCTTGGGATCACTTTAGGGCTATCAACCCAAGGGTACCTTCCCCTATTCTTGGGATCACTTTAGGGCTATTACCTAAGGGTACCTTCCCCTATACTAGAACCAAGTTCTAGCCATGATAATTCTTGATTGATATCCCAAGTCCCAAAATCAACAAGTTGTGTAAGTCAAGATTGT